ATTATGGTACTAGTCAGCGCATATTTAAATACTTTCATTATGGTACTAGTCACCGCATATTTAAATACTTTCATTATGGTACTAGTCAGCGCATATTTAAATACTTTCATTATGGTACTAGTCAGCGCATATTTAAATACTTTCATTATGGTACTAGTCACCGCATATTTAAATACTTTTATAGTTTATTAGTTTTTGCAGTCATTTCTTAGAAATATTATTAAATTTACTAAATCCATTAAATTGGAATAGTATAAGAATTTTTAAAATTATTTTCAATTTTAAGTGAAAGAGAAAAAATTCACGTAAGTAAAAATATGATGATTTAACAAACTTTCTACCTTAAAATATTCAGGACGTTGAATATTTCATAAGTAATGTTAATGTCCTATAGCGAATCACTGAACTATTTCTGACTGTTACTATGTAATTCACATGGTTCTCAAGAATACTGTGTATAACTAATTTAACCCCTTCTCTCATAAGGGATAGGCTAAACATATGATCTTTCTAAATAATCTTATGTTTTGTTTCCAGCATGATTGTTTAATAATTAGCTCCAGGAGCGAACAAGCTTATTTCGTTGATGTCTTTAATTTTAGTGAATCCGATTTTTTCTTAAATATAATGTAATACCTTATGTGGTAATCTGAACTTGTATGTTTGATACAAGAAAAAGGTTGAAGAAATTTGTATTTACTAGTAATACGATATTTACAGTTTGCATACAAGCGACTTCTATTCTATAGAGGGCTAATTGCAGTTAGTAAGACTACACATTTGCACATGCTTATATAGTGAAATCTTACGATGTGAGCTGTGGCGCCACAGGCAACATATTTAGCTCTTATATACATGGATCGCGGCCAATCCCCGATTGTTCGACAATGCTATCACGAGTAGATGTTGGCTTTAGACATATGTTACATTCCTTTTCGAGTAAGGATATTCGTATAACAAGATTGTTTGATATCATAGAGTTAAAGAATACTACCTTTACAAGAAGAGAGTCTTCGATATTTGTACAACGTAGGAGCGTAGAGATCAATCACGGGCTCCGACACCATACCCAAAGCCAAGCTGGAGCAACATTTTTATCCGTGAATCTATAGTTATGAATAAGAACCTTTCAACCCAAAAAAGTTATTCCGATGAAGCTAGGTTTATCTATTCGTACCACTAACAAGATAGTAAGATATTTGAAACTGACAAAGGCTAAAAAGCCAAACATTTACAAATTTTCAACCAAAATTCAAAATCAAAGGTAGTCTGTTAAGAAACACTGCTGGAGAAAATAGAATCACAACGTGCACTTTCGATCACATACCTTTCAAAACGCCAGATGCAGTGTCAATGTGCCAATGAACGTTTGTGCCTTTGGCCTGCTTAATTTTGATTTAGAAGCCGACGTTCGGTGTCCTCCACAGAAGCTTGTCACAAAGGAAATTATAATGTCGGACTGTAGTGCGTAATCATTACCATCAAACTAGACATGGTTAACGATAGACGAATTAGTTTCAAACGCCTGGAACCTCGTTCGGATAAAGTGCAACTTAACGTCAGTAGGACTGAGCTGTTGTTTCAATAAGTTCAAAAAATGTTTATTACTGAAAGTTTAGCATTAAATCTGCTTAAAAACATCAAAAATCCAATGGTATTCTGTAATATATTCTACTAGTTTTAAAACCTTAATTTTTACCATTAGCCATCACAGATATTATTTATGCGTCTATGTCTTTCTGTCTGGCGTATAGTTATGTTTGTGTCTGTGTGTCTGTGAATTACGAATAATTCGAATGAACATTAATTTGTTATGAGTACTTTGATAGTTTTAATGATAAGTCAATAACTTTTTCAATTTACAGTTTTATTCAATAAGCTATATATATATGTATATATATTGAATGGACAAATTAATACCGTATACAAAGTAGTGTGCTCAACGGTAAATCTGAGGGCTTATATCGGTAACAATCTGAATTTGATACTCGCGGTGGGGAGAGCAAAGATAGCCCACTGTGTATCTTTATGCTTAAGACTAAACAAAGAAGCAAAAGAGTTCAATCAAAACAACTCTAATTAGTATGTGTAGGAATGTTTTAATAAACTTTGAAAAACACTATTGAAATCTCACTTTGCAGTTTCATTGAACGATGATTTGCAGCTCTAGTAATGAAGTTGAGATTTAATGTGTTATTTACCCGAATACAAAATGGCCTGTAGTTAACTACCTGTTCGCTAAAGCACATTTCAGTAACTCCATGTATCCATCCATATGTGCTCCACCCGTTTCATTGTACAAATACAAATAAATAATAACGTTCGTCTCTTAACATCTTACGCATTTCAACACAACTGAGTGGAAAAAAGAGAGCTATTACTGTCATCTCAGGGTAGCTCCACATGAACAGCCCACTCTGTATTGGGACATTTTATTGCTAACTTCTGGTATGCTATTTTCAGTTTTATTCTTGCTAAATTTACTATAGATTTGTCAAACAACGATAAGTGTGGTATTCAACCATGGTTAAATGTTAATGAAACAAAATAGTATAAAACTTACTTTTACGTTAGAAATTGTCAGAAGATAATTTACTCGTATAGAAGACCTTGTAGCCTTTGATAGGTTGTTTAGGCAGATTATTCATAATGTATCTAAGTTTCAAATGGACAGCAACTACCTGTTGTA